TGTGTGTGTGTGTGTGTGTGTGTGTGTGTGTGTGTTTGTGTGTGTGTGTGTGTGTGTGTGCATGTTTTTGCTACCTGGTGAGGATGATTTTTGACGATTTCCCAGTTCACACATCCTGTTGAGGACCCACTGTTCCTTATGCTTGGTCTCTATGTGTGTGTGTGTGTGTGTGGGGGGGGGGTATCATTGGTGGGTCAAAGGTTAGGGTTAGGCCGAAGGTGCGAATTGAGTTTAGGTTAGGTTTAAGGTAATAGGGTGGTTAGGCTTAGGGTAAGGTAAGGAGTCGGGGTTAGGCTGTAGAAATGACCATTAAACGAATGGAAATGAATGCAAGGATAGGTGTGTGTGTGTGTGTGTGTGTGTGTGTGTGTGTGTGTGTGTGTTTTCTCCCCTAAAGTGTTTCAACAGTTTTGTTTCTCCTGTATGGGGCAAAATTGAGGTATTCTTCTTGGTTCAGTGGCTGAATAAGGATAATATTTATTTCAGGCATTCTGATGCTTTGTGTTGCGTGTTCTCCTGCAACCAAAGCAGAACATAGATCAAAGTGTAAAAGCTGATGTTTTTGAATCATTGACTTAATTGCTGTAAACACCCTGTTTACCACAGAAAAGAACAGAGCTTCCAGAGGACTGCTCCCAATCATTCACCAGCTTGAACCTCCACCAGCCATGTTGTGCTCATTCCCTCAGGCTGTGTAGTTTACCATTCAAAGATGGAATGTCTCAGGCTGTAAAATTCACACGCGTGCCTCCTTATGTTTTTAATAAAACAAACATATGGTATGCTAAGATCATGCACAATCTTAAACAAAAACATGGCACAGAGTCCCCCCGGCTGTAGCTGATTTGTCATTAACCTTTAGTGAGTAACGAGCAACAAGGATTAGATGTCATAAAAGCTGTGACCTCAAACACGCAACCTTTTGATCTCAGGGTTGACTTCTGTGACTTTTGTGGATACACCACCCACTAAACCTTTTTTCCCCCACTTCTTCCCTGTCAACAGCTGCAGGATTCTAATAACACCTGGACTCTGCAGGGTTCTGGGTTGCATGACTGCAATAAAAAAGAGGTGTGTGTGTGTGTGTGTGTGTGTGTGTGTGTGTAAATTTGCAGTAGCTTGTAAATGCCTCAGATGGTTGTCTGCTGAAGTAAAGGATCACAAATGATTCATAATGAGGATCTTTGCCCCTTTTGTGTCCATGACGTGTTTGTGGGTTGTTTGAGTTTCCACCTCTTGCACTCCATAGCGCACGCACACTCAGGTATGGCGTACTGTGAAACGATTTGCTCAATTGACCATGTGCATTTTAATTATGAAGTGGTTTGTGTTCAGATGAAGAGAATCACATCAGACACAACAGAATGTATTTATTCCTGGAAAAAAAATTGAGATGAAATGACAGATGAGGAGAAATAGGTGGTAAAACAATAGACTAACATTTGGCTTCGACACATAGTGAAAATAAGGCTGGAGGTTGGATAACATGGTCATCATCCACCAAACAGACTTTCTTGTGTATCAGTGCCTGATAAGTGTACTGTAGGTATGCTGATGGTTTTTGTGACTTGAACCTTCTGGGGATTTTGGGTCTATTTTTGAATGGGAAAACATTCACTTTTTTGTGACTTGACCAAAAGTGAAACGCACTTGAAATGCGAACATCACAAATGATGTCAATTCAGTCTGGTGTATAGGTGATACAATTTGAGCTAAACAGTCTTTATTCAAGACACATTTGCTCACTTGAACTGTGAATTACACTACTCAAAAAAAGTTAGGGATATTTGGCTTTCATGTGAATTTTATGGAAAATGTAAAGTTAATGCTACAGTGGAATCGTATCACGAAAGTAGGACATTTAAGTAAAATAATGCACTGGTGATTTCCTCATCTCAAACARTTTATTGAAACAAAAATGAACAACAATGGTGGGTGCACCACAACAAAAAAAATTCAACATCTCAATAACTCATGTCCCCTTGAGCATCAATTACAGCTTGACGACGTCTCATGCTGTTCATAAGTCGACTTATTGTCTGCTGGGGCATGGCATCCCACTCTTCTTGAAGGGCAGCTGTCAGGTCATTGAGGTTCTGGGGTGCAGAGTTTTGAGCCTCTACAAGGCAACTCAGCTGATCTCACAGCTTTTCAATGGGATTCAGGTCTGGAGAAAGTGCAGGCCATTCCATTTGAGGTACACCAGTCTCACAACAGCCGTTCCCTGATGATGTGACCTTGATGAGCTGGGGCATTGTCATCCATGAAGATAAAATCAAGCCTGTGTTGTTCATGTWGGGGCACAATCACTGGATTAATGAAGTTATCCAGGTAGTATGGGCTTGTCACTATACCATTCACAAAGTGTAGGGCAGTTCTGTACCGACTGGAGACACCTGCCCACACTGTAGCACCGCCACCACCAAAAGCTCAGTGACAGCAGTGGCTGATGCATAGCGCTCTCCTTGACATCTCCAACATCGCTGGTGACTATAATTTCTGCTCAACATGAATCGACTTTCATCAGAGAATAGCACTGAGGCCCACTGGTCCCTTGTCCAGTGTCAATGCTCCCTGGCCCATGCAAGACGATGATGCTTGTGCCTGGTCATGTGATCAGGTACCCTTGCAGGTCGTCTAGCATGCAGAACATGCTGATGTAAATGGTTTCGAATGGTCTGACATGACACTTGGGTGCCTCTCACCTCCCTCAACCGTGCCTGGAGTTGAGTGGCATTCATCATCCGGTTTCTCAGGGCATTGTTCACAATGTAGCGGTCATCAGCATGGGATGTGGCCAAAGGACGTCCACTTCTACACCTTTCTGTGACTCTTCTAGTCTCTCGGTATCTCTGTTGCAACCTGCTGATGACACTCTAAGCTCAGTGGCCACGTCCGTCTGAGAACATCCTGTTTGAAGCATCCCAATGGCAAAGTACTGTTGATTCATTGTTAGGTGTCATCTTGGTCTCATGATGTCAAAATGTGAACAGCATGATGGGGACGACTGTTTAAACACCAGCTCTAATTGAACCAGGACATTTATTGGTCGATTCAAGGATCAAACACCTGATGTGAATTTTGCCGTTAAGCTCCTCGTTAGAAAACAGCAACTTGTGCGAAAAGAACTAAAACATTTAACAGTTGGATACATGCATTCAAAAGCTTAGAGAAGGTCACATTAAGTTCACCTGTAAAGGTTTAAATGCATTTTAGGCTCGTCCTGAAATTTCACCCAAAAGCCGAATATCCCTAACTTTTTGTGAGTAGTGTACTCTCTCCAAGAACCTCCTGTTTCAGACACTCCCACTTCAGCACGTCTTCACAACAATGCTTTGTGGAAGGGTTGTTCTATGGGGTGGGAGCTCAGCTGCAGATTGATCTCCAAAGAGGGAGCTTTGTACAAATRGGTGGTGCTTTGTTCCAGCAAGCATTTAGGCAGCTCCACATGGCTACCACAGGAGATTCAAGGATTTCTCTAGCATGCATGAACGAGTCAAAGCAACACTCTGGGCATTTTTAATGACTTCATAACATGATACAAAGCTCAAAGTTAATTTTGCAAAATACTCCCCCCTCCCCCCCAAGACAAACTGTTAAAAGCATCTTAGAAAAACATAAATCCCATTGACCAGATGGATGGTGAAATTGCTGAAGGGGAGATCTGAGCTCATCTCRCCCATCTCTATTAGATGTTTTAGGAGTAAGTGTATTCATCTCCTCCTGATCCCAGTGTAGGTTTCGGTTCCTCGGAGAGGAATAATAAATGAATGTTCTTCTTTCCACTCTTAACTGAGCACTGCCCTCTTGGAAATGCAGCCCTGCTTTGATTCCAGGAGTTAAGGTAATATCGGACTGACAGCCTTGAAATTTTTACAGAGCCTGATCTTTAAGAGCTGTAGGATGTAAGGGTTCTGACTTCTACTAGGAACCACAGAAGATATTCTAATTATTGGGGAAAAATGGCCTGTCTGACTAGTTCTGTCAGCACTGCGGCTGAAGTGTTTAGAATCGGCAGATGATGTTTCAGAAGCATTGGAACACCCTGCTATTAAATTACAACATTCCAGCCTTGAAGTTACAAAAAGACAAACAAATTTTTTTAAACAACTTTTAAGATGACATGTTTCTGATTAACGATGTTACACAGTGCAAAACTCAGATGGTACTTAAATAATTTGAAGGTTCATGACAAAAAAGCTTAAAGACAAAATATAGCCAAGTAGTTGTTACTCTTCAGAACAATGAAAGGAAGATTATATGTTAGGTTATTGGGGCAAGTTTTTGTCTGAGTTTAGCTACCTTTCTGTACTTGAACAGTGGTGGTGACACAGGCACCCTGCCTTGTTTGTTCCATAATGTATTAAATAGAGCAACCCTCCCACCCATTATTAAATTAACACACTAAATATTCTCAGCAACTTGTGTTAAACGTATTCAGAATAAAAAGCAACCAAAAAAGGCGCTGGTGGAATTGAATCAAGTTTAATGAGATGGCAAGCTACCAGCATTCTTGAAAACAGGGAAACTGGTGCAGCTAGCCATATGAGTTTAAAACCCAATAAAATCTAATTTGTTTTAGTCAAAGCTTCCAAGAGCTGTATATGGCTGCAGGTTGCAGACCCCTGATCCAAAGCAAGCTCTTGATTTTTACTAACCCTTAACTGCATTTTAGGGTAGGAAAACTTATGCATCCTTTTTCTAGAGCAAAAGTAACCATTGCATCTTCTTTGTGCTGAAAATCTTGTACTTCAAGTTCTTAACAGTTTACATAGGGACATAATGGTATTTATTCTTAGTAATGCAGTATTGTTTTTAAAACTGTATTATCTAAACAAAGCAGGTTTTGAAAGTAGCTGATGGGTTTTAAGTCCAGAATATTGTGGAACTTCATGATTAACTTTAGCACAGAAACACAAACAAACTGGAATCTAATTAAATATGACCTAAACTAGTTTCTGTTATGGTACTTAACGGTATCAAATGCTAAAATCTAGCAAACACCAAGGATGTTTGTCATAGTGGATTAAATCCTGACACTTTATTGGATCTATTTAAGGATTGGCTTATTTGCTAAACCTCGTAAGCTTCACTTGCTCACTATGAAATGACTTTCTAAAATAAGGAAAGTCTGGGAACCAGATGAACATCAGTTAAGCTGTACTTTTGTTTCAGACAAAGAGAATTTCAACATTCAGCAGCTGCCAGATGATGCTGGATTCCTTGAAGCTTTTTCCCCCAATCCAAAATGTACATTTCTCCCCTCAGAAGATAAACTCATTCTGCGTGGACCTATTCTGTTTGCACTAGTCGCCCAACTTATTCAAAAAGGGTGTTCTCCGGAGTGGGAACATCTTTTCATCCATGTTTTTTCTCCTGGTTAGAAGTGTTTGTGTGTCTTTTGAATGCAAATGTGTTCCTTACAGCTATCCCAATCATACTAGATTGTTTCAACACAAACTTTTTTTTATTACAATGTACTTTGTATACTAAACATTACAGTAAAAAAAAATCAGTTTTGTGCAGATCTGCCCTAAATACTAATGAAGCTGTAAATGAGTAATAAGTTCATTTGCATCTGTAAAAATTGTAGCTTAAGATCACTTGACTGTGCTTACAGTGACTGTCGATGATGCCCAGCTTTTTAAAAAATTATTCCTATTTACATTAATCTACTAGACAAGGAGTTGATGCATAAAATGGATGGTAAAATAACTGGACTACAACTCCAAACAGTTTTTTTAATCAATTGTACAGAATAGCTTTTAAATAAAAAAAAAACATGAATCTGGCCACAAATGATAGGATAGGTTTAAAAATGAAATTAACATGAATATTAATTTATTGTAAAAACATGACCGATAATCTGTGAAACTGATCTGGTTCAGCTTGCTGTTTATCTATTAGAGGCTGTAAGCTGTTGCTCTTTTTGGATGCCATTTCTGCTCCTCCATGCTGTCATACCCTACCAGTGGACAGCATGGGCGGGGCTCAGTCTAGTGATCTTATTAAAATCTGAGGTGGCCTGCTCAAAGCAGAATTGACCCAGAGGATTTGCAGTACCAGAAACTGTGTTCAAGGAGAAATGCATAAGCCTGTGTAACAGCGTTCAAATACCATAACTGGTAGCAGACAATGCAGGTGGTTTATAGGTTTGTTTGTACCTAACCTTTGGTGTCCAACCACATTTTATTTTGAAAGCAACACTGGTCCTCTGTATAAAAAAAGTGACTCTTACTTTTGATTTGAGAAAATTCTAGTGCATGCAAAGTTGTGCATGGTTAATAGTAGGTTTTCAAGTCAGTAATTGGACTTGTGCTGCATACCTGTCAGAATATTTGTCCATATAAGGTGAAAATTAAAGTTTTCTCTGCCAACATGTAAGGTCTGAAGAACAGCTGGTTAAAAATATTCAGTAGTTTAATCGTTGTTTCTGCCATCTGCGGAATGATTACAAGTGACTAAACTGTATTGAAGAGCAGCTTTGAGGTTTTCACTCAATTCAATTCATAATCTCACCCCTATTTTTTTTTTTTTTTTGGGGGGGGCAGCATATTGTCAGTTTTGTGATTGCACTTTGTTTCAGAAAATGAGCAACAATCACTTTATTCCCTTTTGAGTGACTCTGGGACAAACTGCCTTCATTTTAAAATGATTCAATGGATCAGAGCAACATCATCTCTTTGTGGCTTCAAAAAGATGAAAACAACTCAGCCTTTTTTTTCTGCAGTCGTACACACCTTCTCCCATTACCTCAGGTGCACTTATTGCTCTTATCTTTTTTTAATTTTTTTCATGCTTGCTCTGTTTGTGCTTCATTTACAGGTGTCCTTGAGAAGACTGTGGAGGGGGAGGCTGTTGCTCTCACCAAGGCTAAGACCCTTTACAAGTCCTGTACCAATGAGCGTGAGTCACCATGCAGAAGATGCTGCTGATAATTACTTTTTTCTACAATTTGTTTTGTTATATTGGTGTATTTTTCTATTTTAATGCTGCCCTAGAAGGTGATGTCTCATTTAGTTTATTGTATTCACTACTCAAGTTTTAAAAGATAAGAGTTCATTCTTTCATTTTGCAGCCTTTCATGATTAAAGGCTTTCAGAGGTAATTGGTTTCAGCCAAAACTCCCTAATGCTTTCTAAACTATACTTGAATATCCTATCGTATTTGGTGTCTAATGATTATTTTGTACCAGTGAAAACCTTATGTTTGCATTTTGTAATATTCTCCACTAAAGGTTTAATAGAGCAGAGAGGAGGAGGACCTTTGCTTGACATGTTGCCTGATGTGTTTGAGTGGCCCGTAGCGGTGGACAACTGGGAAGCGGACTATGGTTGGGCTTTGATTTTATACCCTCCCCACCATCATGCTCAATATGTCATTTATTGCGTTTTATCCCCCTCACCTTCCTGCCCCTTTATTTCCTCAGGGAAAACTTGGAGATTAGAAGACGTCATTGCCAGGTTAAATGAGAAATATGGAACCCAACTCTTGGTGAACTTTTTTGTTGGCACTGATGACAGGGACTCGACTTCACATATCATACATGTATGTTTAAAATATGATGCTTAAAAATCTACAGTCTACATAATATCAATATACTGTAGATGCATAGATGCTGTGTAACCTTTGTTTCTATAAATTTGCCAGTTTGACCAGCAGACAAGCCTTGGTCTCTTGTCCAGAGATTACTACGCCTGCGATGGTCCACATGCAGAGGTTTGCCTTAGACTATTAAACTTGGCATGATGCAAGTTTCATATTAATTTGGGTCAAAGCCACAGTCTTGTTTCATGTCTTTAGAGTTTCTGTAAAAGAAATCTGCACTAAAAATGGAGGAAATTTTGGAAACCATATTGCAATATTGATAAACATTCATGCTCTTGTTGGAGTTGGATTAAAGGCACATACAAAAATATGTGGCACTAGCGTGAAAAAGAAATCAAAAAACTAAACTAAATTTGGTTCTGTCCCAGTGTAAACCAGATGGTGTGGAGCTCCTGAACTGTTGATTATTATGCAGGAAAATGCTCTTGCTGCAAATAGGTTTTAAGACTGGTTGGCTGACTCAAAACTGTTTCTATGCATAAATGTGGAGTCTCTATGATTTCTTTAGTTTTTATTTTTATTTTTTTATTATTTCTAATTTGATATTTTTTTAATAAAAAGAAAATGTGTGTAACAGGTATGTCGAGCTTACGAGCACTTCATGATTGACCTGGCAAAGTTGATCCGCGCTGATCGAGGACTGGAAATCAACGAAACGCTCATCAGAGAGGAGGTGATGAGAATTATGGACTTGGAGAGGGACATTGCCAATGTAAGCATGAATCTACACATAATGGGAAACTAATGAATTACATATAAATTAACAGTTTTGTTAATGATTACTATGTGTTAAGGACATTCAGCTTATGCTGCACTACAAGAGCAACCAGTAAAAATGCAGTACATATGCACTTTCTCATAATGCACTTATATTTGTTACAAATGTATGGCCCCCCAGGAATTAATCGTAGTTTAAGATTATCCCTAAGCTGTCACAGGTGCTGCCATACTAACAAATGTACACAAAGTCTACACATAGTCCATCTGAAAACCTATCCTCTGTCAGACCTTTAAAGTTGTATAGATGGGTAAAGTATACTTGTGTGTTACTACATGCCCTTAACAGTTAAATAGTAACTTTTAAAAGTTGAACAGACTGCTGCTCTGTGGACCTTAACTGTCTAATACAGTATTTTCACGTTGCTCTTAAGCCACAAAGCTGTAGGCTTGGATCATTTTTCTTTCCTCTGTGCCCCAGCACTCATTGTCCTTTGGGAAATTGGGAGAAAGACACCTTTTTCACAAGAAATACAGACTTTAGGTTGTCTGCTTCTTGTACTTTTTAGCTATTACCACAGCACTTGATTTTAGTTAACCGTACAAATAATTTATCACCCAAGTGTAACAAAGACTTCTCTTCTTTAAATTGATAAATAACAAACCCACTTTAAAATCCAAATATTTGCTTAGTTAAAAGATTGCTTTCTGTAAACTGCAATTTCTATAAAATCTCTACTTAACATAAGACATATTTAGTAGTATTCTATGCTGTCTGGATACATATGTACATACATCATATTTGTCTTGCAACATGCATTAAAATACACACTGCCAATTTTGTGTTTATATGCTGTATTCTTGGTTTAGAATTTAGTAAAATAAAAAAGCCTCTGTTAAAAGATGAGTAATATTTTGGATGAAGTGCAAACAGTTATAAAAGGAAGATTTAACTAAGCAGTTTCTAAAATGTCTTTCTGTAACGAGCTAACAGAGCAATAAATTGTATTGTAAACACTGCTAATGATGTATATTTTTGAAAAAATTGCCACTTTCTGTGGGTTAACGTGGCCAGTGTAAAGAAGCTGTTGACATCCGTATTWTTTTTTTTTACATCAACAGGTTTCTGTACTCATTTGTTATTCTGAGCTGTTCATGTCACTGATATGACTCACTTCCACTTGGCTGCTCTTTTTTACAAGGCAGTCAAAGTAGTCAAGCTCTGACATTTAGACCTGAGGCCTCCTGGGCTGCTAAAAGTGTACGCTTGTCATGGAGTAATATGGTTGTTATAGTGTTCTTTAATTTTCAGTGTTTCGTCTGCTCTCCTTCAGGCCACAGATACACCAGAGGATCGAAATAACCCAATTTTGCTTTACAACAAGATGGAACTGGGAAACTTAAATGCCAATTTCACCCTTGAAGTAGAATCAAAGGTAAAACTTTTTTTTCTTGACTTGTCAGAATTTTACATTTTTTACTTTTCAATTGCTCATCCCACCCTTGTTCATTTCCCTCCCAACTCAAATTGTAGGTATTCAACTGGATTTACTTCACCAGAAAAATAATGAATACAGTCAACATCAACATTCCCAGCACAGAGCAAGTCATAAACTACTCCCCTAACTATTATAGAAGACTCAACCTGGTCTTGGCCAAATACTCAAAAAGGTGGGATTTCATGTCTTTGAGTCAAGCATTGCTCCTGGATCATATCATTGTGTAAACAAWTTTTTTTCCGCCATCATTTCATTCTCAGGGATTTGCAGAACTACATGGTATGGCGTTTTGTTATGAACATGGTGGTGGGCCTGAGCAGAACTTACAGAGACACCAGGAAAGCTTTCCGCAAGGTATTCCACAAGCGTAAAGCTCACTGACATGAAAAATGAATAAACGTAAATTGCCTGATAACGTATAACTGATTTTAAACTAAAGATTGCAGGGACGCAATGTAATCAATAATGGTTAAAAATAAGTTATGTTGAAGAGGGATATTGTAGAAAAGTTGTGAGCAATTTAATCTGTGGTGGTTSTTTCAACAAACTTGGTTTGAAGAGATTTATTTGACCTAATTGACAGAAAAATGGCTACTTCAAATAGGGCCAAGACCAAAGGGGATTGACATCATAAAACAAGCTGAATCTCAAATTCCATGTGACTGCTGAATTATAAGCCTTCACACCAGTATAAGTTTGGCATTTTATAGTTATCCTGCTGGGTGGAGGGGAGGGGGGTGCTCAGGGCTACAGTTAGATTTTGTTGCTCCTCCTATAACTACAGATTTCTTGGAAATTAACCACATAAAGAACAATTATTGATGTAAAGGGTTAGCATCAACTTCTGTGAACTGTGAGACTGGGGTTGGAATCTACTTGTGTCGTGACTCAAATGATGAGCTAACTGCAGGTCTGAGCAAAGTCAAAATTAAAACAATGCTGTTGAATGTTTAACTATTTCACAATACCCTGTTCCAAAAGAATTGATAKTTGCTTTTGCAGTAAATTAAACTAWACATTGTTTTTATGCAATRCATTGCCTTTTCTGCTGGGGAAAGCAAACGTTACCGCCTGAAATTGCCATATTAACAAAACTAATAAACAGTTGACAAGTGTAATCTTATGTCTTTGCTTGTTTTCACTAAGGCTCTGTCTGGTACTACATCAGAGGTCGCTGTGTGGCGACAGTGTGCACTTTATGTCAACAACAACCTGGACAATGCTGTAGGACGGCTGTATGTACAGGAAGCCTTCTCTGAAAAGAGTAAAGAAGAGGTGAGTATGTGAAGTTGGTTTGTGACTGGATCAGGATACATTGAAAAATAAAAGCTACTATAGATTTTATAGATTTTTTTCACTATTAGTACAATGTGTGTCCTAATTTGAACGTGTTGCTTTCTTTTGCATTGAAATTTAGAACAAAATATGAATTGTGTGGGTGTTTTTTAAATATTCATTTATTCATACATACAGTAGGAGAACATGTGTTTCAGGCAGCTCATCTGACTGTCTTTGTCACTTTTTGTCTCGGCTCTACCTCAGTACAGTCTTTGCTTGCATCCACTGAAAGCAGCTGAACAAGGTGTCCTTGTTATCGTGCTCACACCACCCACACTCTAAATCTCAACGTGTGCGCGTCAGATTACGAGGGTTTGTTAGACCCTGTCATAATGCTGAGYGTCTGATAGTGCTAAGAAGGCATGTAGATCTCTCATATAACTTCCTGTATTTTGTATGTTTTGAAGGAGGAAAAAAAGCACATTTTGATCTATAACCATGCCCTTTATTGTGTGAGCATGAATTCTGTTTGACTTGGCAATTGGCAAAATTTAACCCTAACCCTTTAAGTCATGAAGACAGAATATGTCAAACATGCTTGCTTTTAACAGCTTTAGCAGTGCCAACAAGACTCTTGTGGAAACAATTTTTGTTTTTTGCTTTAAAATTCTTGGAGCTATTGTAATTCAAAACATATTTCAAAAATTTAGAGACAAAGCAGATTTGATTTTCATGTTTTCCCCAAAGAGACTCTAAATGTGGGATCTAAATTCCTGACCATTTTAAAAGATGGGAACCTTTGACTTGCTGCTTTAATCTCTCAATCAAGCCCACAACCTCCATTGCATCTTCTTTTCACACACCTGCATGTATCTGTGCCCAATTAGTCCCAAGGCCATCCAGTTTAACAGTAAATATGTGAATAAAATTTATGCTTGCTGCCAACTTTWTAGTTAGTTTTGCTTTAACTACTGAAGTAATAGCTTGTAGTAAAAGACTAAAAGCTTATTTTGTGACGTTTAGATCTATGAAAATAAATTATGTTGGTGCAAATGTTTTTTTATTTTTTCCTAAAAAAAATAAAAAAATAAAWAAAAAAACCTCTGTGGCTGCTCCAACTTCGCGGCAAACCACAACTTCTCTAAGAGGTTGTGCAATGWGTAAACAAAGAGTGTACTTGATGGGTGATAGGCTTGCTGTGGTCTCTGCATGCATGAGTAATTCTGCTAAATTCTAAAATCCCTGCAACTGTAGTGAGACTTGGAGTCCAATGTTTACATACTGTCTTTAAAGTGGTGACATGCATATCCTTCAAACTCAAAGATAACCTTTTATATTTAAGAAACTTGGCATAATACACACGATTTTGTTTTATTTATTTATTTTTTCAAAAAAAAAATTCTGGCACACTTTCTTTTGAACTTGGCTCAGCCAAAGTGAAACAGGAAGTGACATCAAAGGGGAGCTCTTTGGGAAAAAAGGACCTCACTGGTCTTTATTGAAACAATATTATTTGAACCCTGGCTCTTTATCTCTCTGATAGTGACAAAATAATCCAAAACATCTGATTTCTTCTCTGCAGTCTGACGTCCTGTATGGCAATGCTCCATTCACATACAGTATAAACGTTCCCCTTTGTCATCACTTCCTGTTACTGCACATGCGAATATCAACTTTTTATCTCAGCATTTTTTTCAATATCATATCAATGTTTCTTTCCAAAAATGCATTCATATTTATTACAAGAACTTAATGCCATAGCCACTTAACACGTCAGTTCTCATAGTTTTATTTTTGAAGATGTAAAACTATTTTACTGTTAATGTTGCCATTTCAGTTAGGCCTTTATATTTGTGCACAATAAGGTTGCCCAAATAGTGTTTTTAGATTTTTTTCTACAAGTTTTTGTAAGTTGCAAAAGCTGCAAATTTTAACTGCTTTTTGTATACACTGACAATGTTAAGCACCCAGATGGAGTGGATGACAGGTCCTGTGATTGTATTATGATTTAATGGATAAATTGGGGGAGAGAAAACAAAGGACCTAATCAAAGAATTGCCTCAACATGGCTCAAGCGATAGGCACACATGCCCATGTGTGCATGGCCCTTTTCTGTTGGACATGACACMATTTATCAGTTCAGGCCTCCCAGTAGCACCGCTCCAATTGCAGAAATGGTGGTGTTGGGAGTCTAGGCATGGAACAATGAACCCATTGTCTGACTGAGACGGAGTGGAAATCCCAGTGTGTCTGAAGATGGCATGCATATATCGTATTGAGTTCTGAAATGCTTGGCATTGAATTTAATTATCATTTATGTATTCGTAATTGGCAACCTGACCTTTTTTACTGTAAGTGACCTTTGCATACCCCTTAATTTAAATTTTAATTGACCTCTGTACAACAAAAAGAAAAAAAAACTAAGTAGGTCCTCTGGATGGGTTCTTTAGTGAAACATTTCATCTCTCGTACAAGAGACTTCTTCAGTCAGATGAGTTTCTGTTGAACTCAGTCTTAAGAGCACTGCCTCCACATGGTGGACAAAGAGGTCAGTCACATGYAAAAGAGGGCCATTGCTTAACAATAGGCTTGATTAGTTCTATTATTCATAGAGGTGTGCCCCATCACCTGACATTTTGGTTTGGATGCTGTGGTTCTTAAGATTTGTTTATACTTCATGCAAGATGTGCAGCTGCGGCCTAGCGATGACGTAATTGCGTGTGTGTCACCGACAGCATTCAGTGTTAATACTGGGAAAAGACGCGGGGGATACATCATAGTAATCCCTCCCTCTGCCCTCCCACCGCAGATGTCACGTGCTAGCTTAGCATGTAAATAACTGCTAGTTGTTAAAAAAACTTGCTAGTTGCGAGTTTAGCTTATGCAGGAGATGGATGATGAAAAACACTTCTCCTATTTTCAAATGTCCGCTGCTCGTTTCAAGGAACTTGCACACCAGATTTTTTTTTCTTTTTTTTTTTTTGCCCACTGGATCTCCTCTCACCTTCATCACGCAACGACACAATCACAGATGCTTGTACCTCTGGTCCGCCTCGGTGAATTTCTCTTTGAAGCTATCCATGTTTAGAAACAAAAACCGGCTTCTGGTAGCGAGTAGTGGGTGGCGGTGTTGCACAACACAAAAATGCCCACAAACTTTCAACCAATCACCCGCTCCGCGCCRCGTCCTCCGCGTCTCAGAGTTTAACTGGGTTGCAATGTATAGGACAGCTGTCACCAGGGGATAGCAGCGGGAGTGCAGACGGAAGTTGCGCAACTTTTTTTCACTCGGGGGTGGTAAAAGACGTGCGACAAGAAGTATAAACCAGCCATTAGGTGTCGTGTCATGTGTATGTAGTGAATACAGGCAGGGCTCAACATCCCCTTTTTGCCTTTTTTCCCTCCCTCCCTTTTGCATGTGACTGACCTCTTTGTCCACCATGTGGAGGCAGTGCTCTCAAGGCTGAGTTCACCTGAAACTCATCTGACTGAAGAAGTCTCTTGGACGAGAGGCAAAACGTTTCACTAAAGAACCCATCCAGAGGACCTACTTATGTTKTGTTTTGATTTTTTTTTTCTACCTGGATTACTGAGATGCATCAGGACATGACCTCTGTACAGCTCACATACTGAGCAGTTGCATTAACCACTCAACTTTGTACAAACTCACAATAGAATGTTTCTTGTTTCTTATCAACCTGGTAAGTGCTGGTAAGGTTGTCTGTGCTTAAAGCCTGCCCTGTGTCTGACCTTCACCCACTGTTTTGACTGACTTTCAGACATTTGGAAAATGCCTGACACCATGGCTCCCCTCACAATACTACCACTTAAAAGCCCTCTGGTGTCCATTCTAGACATAGAAACTCCTTCAAAATCAAATCTTTATATATCACTAATCTTTTTTACACCAAACCTTGTCAATTGAAATGCTCCTTTTCCTCGTTTTTATAAATTTGAAAAGCTTGTAATGTGTTTTTTAATTTTTTTATTTTGAAGTTGTGTAGTCCTATTTTGAGGGTAAATGTAATTGAGTGGATAGCTTTTTTATGATGTACATTTTATTGGATCTGCAAAACAATTTTAGGACCATTTCTCATGTTTTGAGTTTAGATGGAGGAGATGATTAAAGAAATCCGGGAAGTGTTTGTTAGTAACCTTGACGACTTGACCTGGATGGATGCAGAGACCAAGAAAGCGGCAGAAAAAAAGGTATTCAAAGTATACCATTGCCTTGTTTTTAAATGAACAAAATTTACATTTATGTTCTTTACTTTTGTACAGGCCCGGGCTATTCGAGAACGGATTGGCTACTCTGAGAGCATCATGGATGATGAACACTTGAACAATGAGTACAAAGATGTGAGTGTTTGTGGGGGGAATGCAGTGAAGTTTTCCATCTTTCACTGAATTCATGTAATGGAATCCAGAAAAGCTTCATGGTGTATTTGAGTTCTGATGAAAACATTTCAGTAAATGTGTGACTTATGAGTTTTGCTGTCAAATATTTGACCAAGTGTTGATGGCTTTCATYGCTGCTAATCCTTCCCTGATTCTCTGGCTGTGTGTTGGTGTTAGTTGAACTACAGTGCAGAGGAGTACTTTGAAAACATCCTACGAAACCTCGAGTATGTGCAGAAGAAGCGCCTGCGGAAACTGAGAGTCAAAGTCAACAAAGACGAGTAAGCTTTCCCCTGGGGTGGGGGTAGAATTAACAGCTCTATTCCAGATGTGTTATAATTCAGAGCTGCAGTGTTGAGCATTTAAATCTCTCATTTGAAATGACTTCATTTGTGATGCTTGTGGTGTGACCCACTAGAATATCTACCTCATTTTTAGCACAGTGCATTCACTTTCTCCCACACAAACTCCTACTCTCATGTAGTTCAGCTTTGCGCGGCAGGGATCCCAACGTTGGCCTGAGTATTTATAGCTGCAGGTTAATTTCAATGGTTTTAATCTAATATGATTTGTGCTGTGTCTTAGCGCTCCTGGTGGTTCCATAGTTTAATTCCACTTTCCTCATCTTTCTCCAGGTGGGTAACTGGAGCTGCTGTTGTCAATGCCTTCTACTCATCTAGCAAAAACCAGATAGGTATTATGTGTACTTCAGCAAATCCAATCAATACTTTGAAAAGATGAAGGATAATTCAGTGAGGCAATCTATTTATTTCTTATTTTTTTGTCCTGCATTTAGTGTTCCCAGCAGGTATTCTTCAGCCTCCATTCTTCAACAAAGGTCAGGCTAAATCTCTCAACTATGGTGGCATTGGAATGGTCATCGGTCACGAGATTACACATGGCTTTGATGACAATGGTGAGTTTCCTTCTGTGCTCGTTTCATTAAAATTAAGCAAAACACTAAAGTTGTAACAGTTACAACAGACGTAGGTTTATTTAAAGATTAGCACTTTCCCTCAGGACTTATTTGTTTTACTAATTTACAAAGGCTTAAAGAAAGTTATCTACTTAAATGAAATAACTTGTACTRTGTACTAATTCATTTGGGAAAAGAAACTAAACAAATAAATCGATGTGCAAATATCTACTGCATTGCTGCTGTTGACAATAATGAAAGATTAAGTTGTACTTTTTTTTATTTTTGAGGTCGTAACTATGATAAGGATGGTGATCTGAAGGACTGGTGGACACCAGAATCTACTGCTAGATTCCTGGACCTGTCCAAGTGCATTGTTGATCAGTACAGCAACTTCTCTTGGGATCTGACCAATGGAATGAATGTATGTTTTTACAACTTTACCTCTTCAGTCATTTGATGGTTTTCCAGCAACATTTTCTCAAATATTCTCATGAACCCTGCTTTACCTCATTGACTTTYTTGCTATCAGTTTATACTTTTCGTCTGTCTTTGTCATGCAGTTTCATAGTTCCTATTCTTAGGGTGACTTTAATACTTTGTTTACATACGAGTACTTTTTCCTTTATCTTCTGGTTTTGCACTCTCCCTTTGAACAATGTTTGTTTTGTTCCCTGGGCAATTTTCTGTATTCCAAAAAGYGATCGCTGCAATTTGCCGAAATATTCTGGGAGTTTCTCTCTTCACTTTTTGTCTTTTATTCTGTTCATATTTTGTCTCTAGTTAAATGGTAACAACACCCTAGGGGAAAACATAGCTGACAATGGAGGCATTCGACAGGCATATCAGGTAACGATCCCCAAAATAAGGGATTTTTTTCTGATTTTACAGATATGTGGCTCGTTAACAACTATGAGACTTGTTAACTCATTATCATACAGGTCCATTTTTTGTTCCATTATAAACCTCAATCTTTGGCCTAAAGGGCTGATAAAGAACACTGTGTTCAGTTTTTGCAAAGGGGCATCACTTTCAATTTTCAGCTAAATTACATTATGGGTTTTTGATTCAACTGTTTCACAAAGCTTTTAGAWATATTAGGAATACTGTTTTGGAATATTAAAAATGTCATCTAAATATGAACCAAGGTGACCATTGTAATTTTAAATGTTTTAAAAGATGTTTTTTTTAACATGTTTATTATTCATGACACTGCCTAAAACATAAAAAAAAAATATTGAGCAACAAAGCTTCTGCCCTGTCAGCTGCAAATGGGTTAGCAGATGGCAGCTTCTAAAACTGTAATATTCTGAACAATAAAACCTGTATTGGGGTTTAATATTGCAACAAATATTTGCATATGAWTCAGCAGAATCTGGTGGCAGAGCTTAAGTATTTTACTTTGCAGTTTTAGTGCATAAAGTATTATTTTTTTCTCTCTTGTGGTGGGGTGGGTAGGCTTACAAGAATTATGTGAAGCACCATGGAGAGGAGCCACCACTGCCGGGCATTGACCTTTCACATGATCAGCTCTTCTTTCTAAACTTTGCTCAGGTAACGAACTGACCTAAAAGGTGTGAGACCCGGATAAGTAAAATGATTTATTAAAACATTTTTGGTCACATTTGTTGGTTTTTGAAAGTGCTTTCTGAACACATACAGTATTCTGTTCAAATTATTTAATTCAAAATTGAATGCAAGATGAATATTTTTAAAGCTTGGACTTGGTATAACAGCCTTCTATTGTGATCTTGAGTTTTATTTAGACTAGCCTTTAAATTTTGAATTGATTTGTAGGAAAAATGTGCATTGTTCAAARTGGTATGTCTGAATAAACGGGAATCAGCTGGATTTCTTCTTTAAAACTTTATTTTCAATCTTGACTCCAATCTGGTTCATACAGCACTCAGCAGCACAGGCCTCAGTGTACGAMCTTGGGCTGAATCAAAACAAACAYAGGAGCTCTGCTCTGAGCAGACACTCTGCAAAACACTGACAACTTCTTCCTGCTGTAAAAATGAATTGAGCTTTATAATGTATCTTTCTTCCTGGTTACACCCCAGGAGGTGTTACCTTTTACGTCACATGTCAGAACATAACTCATTTTGTTTAGGTTAAAGRAAGAACATATGATAACACACACCAACTCTTTGTCAGCTTTAACCTTACAGACTGAAATGATCAGAAAGTATAAAATACAATACCGAATCTATTATTCAATTAATTAGTTACAATATTTCCTTCAGATTAACTAAACAGACTTTGTCAAAGACCTATAGGTAARACAAAAGTCATAATTTACATAACCTAATTTCAAAAGTTCTGAAGCATGTTTTCTCCAAAAGAGGCACAGCTTTTTCTATTAAACTTTTTTTTTCCCTCCCAAAATTTATTGTGACATGTCAATATTCTAAAACATGAATAGTTTTAATGTTTCTAAAGCAACCTGATATATGGTAACTTTTTAAATAACCATACTTGGAATAAGTTTCTAAAAATCTAAAAGCCTTTACATTATTCTCCTGTAACTAACTGACTGACTGGGTAGATAAATTGTTTAGATGTGATCACTGAATGAATGGATGGGTTTGTGAATTGGATGAAAGACTGCCTGTCTGATGGGATTATTACACTGATTCATGACTGGCTGGTTCAGTGAATTTGTTGAGTAGTTGATGGATGGGTAAATGAGGAAAATTACAGGCTGTAGCAAGGTATTGGCTTAACGAAGTACATGCTATCTGTCTCTTTCAGGTGTGGTGTGGAACATATCGACCAGAGCAAGCAGTCAACTCCGTTAAAGTGGATGTACACAGTCCGGGGATATTCAGGTAATGTCAGTCTGTATTTTCTCTGCTTGCATGCATAAATAAATAAATGGTTGGAGGCGAATGTATAGATCATTATTTTAGCAATAAAAATCAACTTATTTTAAATCAACTACACACGTCAATTTTTATTTTCCACAGGGTACTTGGCTCCCTTCAGAATTTTCCAGAATTTGCCAAAGCTTACAACTGCAACAAAAGCAGCTACATGATCCCTGATAACGTTTGCCGTGTGTGGTGAACTACAGAGTTGTCTCTGGCCCTCACCACTTTTTGTACCTTTCCCCTCGGACTGCTGGAGCACTCACAGTGGGCTACAGGGAGGTGGAAGCTTCCCTTAGATCTTTACTGGTTGGACCATGGCTGATGAACAGACTGCAGTGTGCGCTTTACCCAAGGACATACAGAAGCAGACTGTACCCTGAAGGGCAGAAGGAGCACTGCCTCGCCAACTCAGATACTGTAGTTCATTAAATCAGCCAGTTTCTTTGTATTTTTTCCTCCTCCTCCCTTTTTGTTCCATTTTTTCTTATTGTTTGAGTCTGCCAATGTTTRTGACAGCATATGTGAGTGTTTCAATCAAAATGCTTTATAAGTTGTAGGCAATAGTTACGAACAGAAATATGCTCAGCCCACTCACACATTAATACACCATCTACCCACACTCTTACACACGCGCGCGCACACACTCGTACACATCAGAGCCAAACCACTGGATTGTATGTGGGCCTTGGCTGTTGTGCTCATGAAACCTCAACTCTTTTCAGTCTTTGTTAGCCTACAATAAATTACACAAATAAATCTTAAGATGCTTTTGTTTATACATGAAACTAAATTAAGTAAATTGTTGTTTAATAAAAGAATATTTTAAATAGACTAGAGTATTTAATATCCCATATTACAGTGCTATTCTATATATAAATAATGATGACTTAACCCTCCTCCTGCCTTGGATCAAACTTTAAACTAAGGGYAGCAGGAAGGTTGACATGAGATTGCATTTAGCAGAATGAAGATTATTAACCAAAACAAAGATCTTGCCTTTTAAAAAAGACAATCTACAGATTCCAGACATTTTTTATGTGCCCCCACCTGAGCCTCATGTTTCTGTGAAKGTCTTTGTAACATCTTTGGCCAAGCTATTTGGTATGCCTTACAGTTGTGTTCTGTCATGAATGTGTTTTTTGTGGGAGAATCAGAAAAAAGGAGTTTAACTTTTTACCATGCTTGTTTGGTTATTTGTGAATTGTGAGGGAAGTTTACAGTTCTGCTTAACAGAAATGAAAAATGTGCCTGAGAATGTTTATTTGGTACCCCTTTGAAGTTAGTATACATGAGTAGTCAAATAGGTGGAGGAGATTAAGAAACTTGGGTAACGTTAAAATTTTGCTTTATTTTGTTTGTTTTTTTTTTTTTTACAAAAAAAAGGTTTCACTACGTTTCTTGGCCCTGTTCAAACYAGTTGTTTGTTCAGTGTATTGCTGCAATTGCAGTTCTAATCTTACAATTTCCAAAGATCACAAATTTGTTYGACCTTTTTAGAAGGTAAAGTGGTTGCAGCAGTTAGCTGTAGCACTTCAAATTTGCAAGTCAGTTGTTTAGATGACGGCAATCTAAAATTACCTTTTTTTTAGAGAAAGTTCCAAACACAAAACCATTGTAAAGTGTCATCTACAAAAGTTTTTTTTTTTAACATGTAGAACTTTCCCACCCAAAAAAAGTCTGAACTATCCCTTTAACATCACACTGCCTGGAGCAATGACTTTGTGCCATCTCTACTAGTTGCCAAGCAACCTAAGTGTTACAAGAGATGACTTGTCATTGCAGGGCGGATTATAAACACACAAAATATTGGTTTGTGACTTTTTCATAAAATTATTGATCATCCTGGGTACATGTTGGTCTGAAACTGATTTTCTCAGCTCTTGGCAAAATGTAAGAAAATGTTGAACCCTCAACCTTTTTTYYCYCCCTTRACTGTCCCACGTTAGGAGAGAGTCTTGAAAATTAAAGTTAAACTGTTGCGCTGAAGCTTTTAAGCAAATCACATCTGTGAATTTCAGAAGACCAATGTGTGTGTGGGACATTATTTTCTAACCTACTGTAATTTTTTTTCTCACTGTACACAATTTTGCCTTTTTYCCCCCTGAAGATTAGTACAAACGGTTCGTCACATTGAACAACTTCCTGTTTAGTCAGTTTTTACTACTGTTTTTGCCTTTTGAATTACTTTTGTTGCAGCTGTTCTAAATTTCTCTKGCTTTCTTTCTTTTGTTGTTTTAAGGCTCCAATTGTAGAAAAACGGATATACCTCAGTTGCCTGTATTTAGATACTTTCTACCAATGACTAATCTTTAATAGCCTTTCTTTCTTTTAAAATAAATCTTTAGATAAAACACMTTGTCTGCAGGTGTCTTTTGTGTGTGTGTGCACGTTTTCTTATCCACAATTGCTGCTAAAATTCTTAAACATGAAAAGATTGTTTGAAAGCAACATAGTCAACTGTTTTCATCCCCTATTTTTATTCATTTATTCCTTTTTGAGAAAATGCATGTTATATCCCAAAGATGCATTTGGTAAGTTTATTACATTCTCCAATGAATGAGCAGATGCATTTCCTGCTTGAGAAAATGACTTAATTATTGGCTGAAACTGGAGGAAAAACTGTGCAGGTAACTGGAAAATACACCTAACCTAAAGGAACTGGGAGAACAGGCATTTGAACACACCACCAAGCCCTAGAGCCAGACACAAGTTATCTGATGGAATGGGTCAGTCAGCGAGACGAGCCAACACACACTTGTGCAAACAAGCAAAAGTGGATTTCTATTTCAAGTTGTTTTTTCGTAATTTCAGCCACATTAGAAAATTTTCTAAAAATTTAGTGGGTTAGGGGCTTTTTTTAAAGACACTATATAAATAAAACAACTAGTTGAAAAGACAACCACCAGAATTTTTGTGGTTGAAACTGACTGCCATCGATGTAGCAGAGTCAAGCCAGTCAGCTCAAACTGTTTTTCTTAGAACTTTTCATGTTTTTCTTTTCATACGTTTTGTTCATGTTTTTGCAACATCTTAAAGTGAATACTATTTTAGTGTGTGTGTGTGTGCGCATTTCCACATCAGTCAGGCAGTGTTTTCAGCAGAATATCAGTACTGCTAACTGTCAAGCCCCCCCTTTTTGCTCCTGCTGCCTGGTGGCACTTTGGCAGATAACWGAATTCACACCACCCACTTTCCTCGTGCTCTCACCCTCCCCGTCATTAGCAGCTATGCTAGTTACCCTTGCAGCTAGCATTACAACACCTCAGCATGTTCCTGGGAGGCTCAGATGAAGGCTTTCCATTTGAACGTTATAGACAGCTGATGTCMAGCAGAGCCAGGAGGAGATCTCAACTTGAAAAGCAATGAGGGGTRCGATCTGATCTAAAATGTATTGCCCCATGGAGAAAACATATGTCACCTYTGCACTTTAAAGCTTCATGACAGTGTTTTTTACAAGTCACTCATGCTAGGCCCTTTTTTTGTTTGACCCTCTCAACGCAGGTTCCCTCCCCTTTGTTGCCCGGTTGTCATCAAATGAATCCATTTGGGTGTTTGCCCTTTGGGTGACCCCAGCCGTAGGTCTGGTGGTATGTGCGCATGTGTTTGTGTATGCGAGTGTGGTGGTAATGAGGGCGACGACATGCCGCCTCTGGAATGCCTGYGTGTGTGGCAGTGTTTAGAGTGTGTGTGTGTGTGGAGTCTGAAGACTTTAGAAATGAAGCATAAACACACCTAAAAGAGCACATGCTGAGTTGCACATGTGCAAATGCACAAAGACACGTGCAAATTATGTGCTGGGATTATGAGTCAATGTTTTAGACTGGTGTGGGGGTGTGGGGGGGGGACGACAGGTGGGCACTGTGCTATTGTGCACTTGAGCTGAAAGGTGCTCTTATTGTGAAGTGCTCTCATACTGTGCTCACGCTGATAATCAGCCATTATTATTTTAAAGAGTCTTTTTAAACCTTTTGGGAACAATTCTTAAATTAAAACTCCGGTGGTACTAATCTTTTAAGGAAATTAGTAAAACACACTCAAAAGGCTGATTTTTGCCACAAAAAGGTTAAGTTTGGTCTTGAAGTACTGCTTAAAAAAGTAGCTAAGGATAATTAAATTAAAGCTTGTATAAAATAAAACTACTTGGTTTACTACTTGTTTTAGTTGGAAATATTACTGACAGYTTGATGCAATGATTTGTAACCTACTTTTAAATGCCAAGGTAAGCAAGCAAAATCCAAAAGCAAAACTATATGTTGAAGTTGTAAGTGCATTRAGTTAATGGTATAAAACAGTGACCTCCTGTGGTTGATTTATTTGTTTGGAGGTGGGTTTCCTCRTTTGAAGCGAGACCTGAATGTCTTTGAAGGCTTTTTGACTTTTTATCAAAAACGCCGACTTGACGTGGACCGGACATTATACATGATCTAAGAGTGTTTGTTACACACACCTAACTTCAGTGAATCAGTAGTATAACATACAATTAAAAATTTCAAGTCAATTTAATCAATACAACACATAATCCTCCATTTGAAAGTGCCAAACAAAGGACGGAACACTAAAAACAGGCACAAGTTGTCTACTTTATTTTGAAAAGAAATCCTTTAATCAAATTAAAGTAAACCATTTTGATTGTTACGCAGGTGTTTTGCAGATTAACTGCAAGTGTGACTATGTTTTGAATTAAAATGTTTATTCCAACTTTGTTCCAGTACAGGAAGTTTCCATCTTGGCCTCTTTAGTCTGTCAAACTGACGTTCTCATCTGGTGAACTTCTGAGCATGACACCAAATGTTCAGGCTTATTTAGCTGGGGCAGGATTATACACTATATAATGCTTACTGGGAAATGAATGTGGCACAACCTGCAGGAGCAACGAGACAATCTAATTTCCTGTTATTAAATGCTGACTTCAATTTGCTATTTAAAGCTGACTGCTTCTCTGTTGCAGGATTTGAGAATCAGCTGGAATGTCGGCTTATAAACCTGGTATGTCAGGCGGGCTGGAGTTGTTGGATCACTTCAAGCTAGAACTTAAAACCTTAAGAGATATTTCTAATTCAGCTTTATTTCTTGAGCATTGTAACATGGAGAAGTTAAAAGTTCAAAATGTCAGTAGTTTGGATAAAACAAATTGGTAATGTATCTCCTACTTTGTAAAGTTTTTGCTAATTGAACGTGTTTTAAAGAATACAACACATTATGTTCGTAAAAATGTCAATGATTTAATAAATAACTTAATGGAGCCAAAGCAATGATTTTTCTGGTTTTGACTGAACGAAACATTAACTTATTTACACTTTACCCCACACATTTGACCATTTTCCCCTCTGAATTTAAACTAAATTTACCACCCCACAGCCTCCAGCCACATCTTTGACATAAAACTTAAAGATTTACTTTACCGTGGCATGCTTTTTATCACCTGACCAAGGCGAGCCCACATGGTGTAAGTGAGATTTATGTTCCCATAACACCAGTAAATTATCTGCACACTCACTGCAGTGTACATACATTTCCAATTTTCTGTCACTTAGTCATAAAGCATTATTTTTCTACTTTTACTCTGACAGGCTGTGCAACCTGAAGCAAAGAATTTTGAGTATGCAAACACGGAAATCTTTTACATTATARTTTGTTAGTGTTAAATTTCACTCCACGTCGATTAAAAGTTTTGTAAGTCACATTGTWAGGTTAAATTTGAAGACTGAAGAAAAGCTAAAAAAAAAACAGGACAGACAATTATTCATGTCAAAAGAAYCTTTTTCAAAATTAAACATCATTACCACTGGACCATGCCAAGAACTGATTGTGATTTATGACTCAAATTATACCAACCATTTGCCAAAATTACTGAAAGTATGTATTTAATWCAAAATTAATAACAAAGCGCAGTGATGATCTTGTCTTTCTGTCCCCGTGGAGAAAACCATTCCCGTGATGAATTCAATTTATTCCTCGCACAATTTTTCGACCAGAGAAAGAAAATCAAAATCCATTAGTGACACACACACACACACACACACACACACACACACACACACACACACACACACACACAAAGACGGCGGATGGCATCTGCTTGGCAGTATTTTCCACACTGTACTTTTCTTTTGTGTCATTTTGACCTGATAGTGAGGTTTTCGATGAAAAAAATGAGATAATCTAGAAGGAGTGATGAGTGTTTTTCTCATATGTCGGAAATTTATTCAACTGTCAACATTTTTACAAAACCCAGAGAGAACTGTGGGATATTCAATACATCACAATAAATTAAAGGCCTATTAGTATGATGTACACAAAATAGGCATAATAAATGTTTGACTTATTCAATTTATTGTAAATACATTTAAATTGATATTGATTCACATTTTGTATCATATTTTTTCCTAAAGCAGTTATAGTTTAGAGGTAGCATCTTAAATGAGTAGATTTTTGTATCATTTGTTCCTATGTGGTCCTGGACATAATGACTATAATGTTATAATAAAATGTTAATGTTGAAACATTTAGAATGCACCAATCTTCCTATTTCAGCTTCATACATATCTCTACCACAATGTGACATGATTTGTGTCGTGCAGATGTGATGGATCACAGCCAAACCGATACAATATCAGAATGAGAATCAAAATTAGATTAAAAAAAAACGGCACAATTATCTTGTGAACCAGGCTTGATGATCTCATTGTCATACTTCATCTCATGGACCATACAATTGTGCTTAAATGATTTAAAAAGTTGACAATACAGTGAAAATGCAACCGATTCACAATATATTAAAATCACTATTAAAACCGAAATGATACATATTAAACCTAATACTCTATGAGGTTGAATGGTTATTCTAAATGTTGAAGTGGCTGACGAATTAGTATTTCTAGAAATTAAGGTCATTTTGAAACAAGTAACAACTGCATCATAAATGATCRTATGCGAGAGTGTGAATGTGTCTGGCTTGTTTGTGGCCCTGTGATGGACTGGCAACCTGCCCAGGGTGCACAATAATCGCTGTAGATAGGCGTCAGTGACCATGCATGAAAAAGTGAGTAAGAATAAATTGATTGATGTTTATAGTTGCTAACAGAGCATTGCAACAGACATCTTCCCACTTACAGCAGTTTGGTATTTTAACAGTCTCAGCACGATATCTGATATTCCTTGGCCTGGGAAGCCTGCAGCCTGAGGTCCCCAGATGATTCTATGTGGTTTGACCCATATTTGTCTCATGTCTCTGCYTCCATATATCCATACTTTATTTACTTTATTGCCCCTTCCACTTCGTACAACAAAAAACGTAAACCTCAATGACAGCCAACAGCCCACAATTTATTCTCAGCAAAGAATACAAGGGAC